TGAGCCTTAAAACATTTACCATCTAACTAGTTAAGAGAAAAAAGAATCATGAGTGTAAGAGCCAAGTTTAGATTCACTTCTACACAGGTTTCAATAGAACCTTTGTCATTTTTTTGGCTGAATGATATGAACAAGTTATTAAAACTTGTGTGAGTTTCCTGTTGTAATTATTCATTCATTTTTGAGACAAGACTAGCCTCGCTTTAACTCACTATACACCTAAGGACTACCTTGAATGATTTACTTTCCTGCCTCTACTTCTCAGATCCTGTGGTCATAAGCAGTCATCAGCAAACTCAATTGCCTTTTCTTAAAGTTATATATTACTACAAAGGCTGGTGAGACATCTCAGTGGGTAAGGATCTTGATACCAAACCTGAGGACCTGAGTTCAATTCCCAGGACACACATGATGAAAGGAGATAACAGACTCCAACCCACAAGTGGTCTTCTAATCATCACACATACATTATGTCACATGTGCACACAAACACACACAGAGACAAGTGGGAGAGAGAGAGGAAGAAAATTAAAAAATGTGATAGACTTATGCATGTATACATGCATGCATGCATGTACGTATATTGCTTCATTAAGAGGAGGATAGGCAAATACTATGCAGATATGGACTCTGGTCTGAGACTAGTTGATTTTGGAGATCAGGTTTCCCAGTTACCAACATTGGAACATATTCTCATGAGTAGGCAATGTAGTGAGTCAACACTCCAGCCTCCAGCTCTAGAATCAGACTTCCTGAGTTTAAAACCCGACACAACTCACAATGTGTATTTACTCTGAGTTAGTGGAAAACCTTGATGCTCCTTCCTTGCTGACACCTCTTTCAACATCCTCCATATTTTATAGTTGTCAGTTTGTGTTCTGCCTCTGGAAGAGGCTGCTTAATATTATAAAACAAAACTTTCAGATGGCAAAAATCCTGATCCAGAAGTTTGCTCCCTTGGTTACTGTCTTATAAGTTGTGCTGAGAATTTGCCTTTCTTGTGCTTCAGTTGGACCGTCTGTAAAATGGGATGAAATTAGAAACTGACTATATAGTATTGCTATAAGGATGCAGTGAGGGACTTCACAGAGAATGTTTAGAACTCTGCCATGAACTTGCCATATCCCCATGTGTGCTGCCTTCTGTGACCCCCTTTGGGACCCACTCTTTATCTGGGTCTTTGTGTTCATGTTGGATTCAGTGTCACCTTTTTCTTTGTAAATTTAGCCTGACACAAGCTTCATCTTATTCCATCAACACTTCGTTTTGTGTCAATCAATGTGTATCTCTCCTAGAAGCCTCTTGAGTCATTTAGTAGGGTTTTTTATCCATTTTTGAGATCTAATTAGTTTCTTAAACCTACTGGGTTATCCATGCCTTAAAGCAAGACAAGTTTGATTTGTGGTTTTCCCTCAGAGCTATCTGCCAGACAGGGTATCTCAACAACAATATTCCAAGAGAATCATATTATTATTAAATTTTTCATAAATTATATTCTGAAGACATTATTACATATCATTTATAGAAGTGGAAAAAGTCATTTAGCATGTATGTGTGTGCATATGTGCATGTGTGCAAGCGGGAGCACACACAAGTGTGTGTGTGTGTTTGGGTGCATGTGTGATATGAAAACAGAAAAAACAAGAAGGGGCTTATTTGTGGCAAGGAAAATGAAGCACTAGGAGGAGAGAAGGGAGCAAGAGAAAGGGTAGGAGAGAGGGCAAAAAAACAGCATACAGTGATATACATAGATCTAAATTGTCATAGTTAACCAACTATTTTATATATTCACAATGAAAGAATTATTACAGTGAAATGAAGTTCAAAATACATTCAGTCCATGGGCTTGTCTCTCTGTCTGCTGTGGGACATTGAATGTTTTGCATCTGTATTATCCTGGTCTCTAATTTTAAGGTAAATCCAGGGAATCTTTAAGGATTCAAATGAAATAAAAACTACTGAATACTGGCAATAATGACACTTGATGCAGTGAACCTAAGAAATGTATGCCCTTTATTATCTTCTATTCCTATATGAAACTGTCTGTGGATTTAGATTTTAATTTCACTCAAGTTTTGAAACATTTTTTTCCTTAGTGTCTTTTCCAAAATACCAGTTAAAACTATCCAGAGAAATAGAATATGGGAACAGGAAAAGGAGGGGCAGGAGGGAATAGGAAGGGAGATAATAGGATAGGTGATAAGAGAAAAGAAGGGGAAGTTAGAAGAGGGGAGAGGAGGGTAGGGGAGGAGAGAAGAGGAAGAGGGAGGGGGAAAGGAATAAAAGAAGAAAGGAGAGGAGAGGGTAGTGGAGGGGAGAGGACAGGAAAGGACAGTCCAGAAACAGAGAGAAGAAGAGAAGAGAAGGGAAAGGAAAGGAATGGGAAGAAAAAGGAAAGGAAAGGAATGGAAAGAGAAGGGAAAAGAAGGGAAAGGGAAGAGAAATGAAGGGAAGGGAAGGGAAGGGAAGGGAAGGGAAGGGAAGGGAAGGGA